ATATATATATAGTTCACATTGATAGATTATTTTGGTAGGATTTGAAGCAGTTTGGATGATTGTATGGTAGATTGGAAGCTTCAAGCAAAATGATTTATGTGAAGAAAACAAATGTTTTTTCAAGGTCTATTTTTATATTATGCATGTTCATTTTTTCGAACAAAAACATTGATTTGTTTTTTTTTTAACTTTTTAATCAAGCCATGATTTTTTTACAGGTAATATTGTTTTATATATGAAAAAAAAAAGTAAACGAAAGATGATTTTCTTCATTGTATGACAATTAACTAAGGATGAACAAATTCGAACACCACAACTAAACTAAAGACTATTTCATTCTGTTTGTAAAATAATTTAAGATGGTTTTCCTTCTTTTTTTTCCAAAAAGATCAAGACAAATAGCAAAATGGGTAAGGAATAATTCCTTAAGATGAGTTATCCAAGTTAATGGTGACTAAAATGTTAGTATATATATATTTAATATGATTAAACACATTTTTAACATCACATTTATTTCATATTTTTATTATTATTTTGAGTTATTATAATTGTATATAAAGAATAGACTCTTTTTTATGCATGTTATTGTTTAAATGTTAACACATAATTAATGTTATTTTATGATAATGTATTGATAACATTATGTGTATTAACAGGCTTAAAAACGTATTATCAGACGTAAAAAAACGTTTCAAATTTTTGTACTTGCATAATTGTTAGATGTAGCTTTACCAATTTATATTAACCTAAAATTAAAACTAGAGTTGTTATTGATTGCATTATTATCATGCATGGATGTTGTTTTTGTTTGTAATGGACTATCTTTATGTTTGCATTTTTTATGTGTCATCATATTTTACAAAATACCAACAAATATTTTTTCTTACAACATTTAAAAATAAAATAAAATAATATGTATTTTATAGATCAGTGTAGTGTCTGTTTGTTTTGTATTGAAATCTTCAAAAATGAAAACCCAAAGGATGTAAGAAAACATGGTAAGTTAGTGTTTTGTGTATTTGTTTCATAATCTTTCGAGGTTGTACTGATACCAACAATAGTCTTTTTGGTAGTAAGAGTTAGGGATAATGACTTCAAAGGGTAATGTATTTTTCGATTTGTACACATTTGGTCACTGTATTTTTTTTCGTCCACATATACCCCTTCAACTTGCTAAACTGTACACATTCAGTCCTTATGACCTGTTACTCCAGGTTAGCCGGGAAAAATGACTTAATAGGGTAATATATTTTTTATTTTGTACACATTTAGTCCTTAATATTTTTGTACATATTTAGTCATTAACATTTTTTTGTTTCAAAATAAGTCCTTTTTTTGTACTCATTCACTACTTATGAATGATTTCTTTAGGTTTTTCTCACGACATCTTACGTGGGACAATCATTGATAAAGTGTTTGGGTTTGTTGATGTTTATGTCTAACGCGAACTCGACTGTTTGGTTGCGTAGATCTTGTGGTTTGACTTAGGTCTTGTATTCTGAACGTCGTAACTTCTTCGTACGATATCATATTTTAACGATTTTTATATTTACGTGTTCACTTTTCGAGTCTACTACAACCTTCATTAAGATTACTCCCATTAAAATGTAATATATTTTAATTACATTTTTATTAAAAAAAACATTCATACATGCATTCATAAAAAATGTATGGACAGGGGCGGACGCGAGAATACATAGTAGGT